ATGTACATTATCCTCTGTCATGAAACCAAAATCAAGCCCTTTTGTTTCATTCCAATATTGACTCTAAACCTGAAAGTGTATAAACAGCCTTTTATTAGGCTCCTTCGAATATTGTTCATTGGAAAACGAACGTTAATGCAAAGATGATATTCATGTCTCAAGAGGCCTAATGTTATAACCAAGAAGAATGATTCCTCCTTGGCGTCATTGGCTGTCTAGCGCCCCATGGACTCTTCCTAGTATAGTTTTACTCTAGTTTTCTTCCTAGTATAGAAACAGTTGAATCTGCATTTCAGTCAGGAGATCTGTGAGATCACAGTTTTCTAATGACGTAGAGGTACAACCCTCCCTCTACGTCATTAGATTTCATTCAAGAAAAGTGAACTTTATTGGTATCACTTCTTTGCTGATGAGAGGGGGAAGTTAGGGCAGTAGGTAGGACTATAGAGCTACAGGATCCGGTGGAAACACATCAGATTAAACTGTCCTACTCTATAGCGAATGGCAGTTATTGGGCTAGTCTTGCTATTCAATACAAGCAATATTTGCTATTCAAATACAGAAAGCAAAGATACTCATTGGAGATTGTCTTATTTTCCCTCTGAAGCATTAAGGCTTGATCATCATGGAGATTGTAAAATGAGTTTAGAAGTCATGAAGATGATATGTGTTGATGAAGAAGAATGAGTTTATTGTGTAGCATTTTGGTATGGTGGACTTACTATGATTTTGAAAAATATTTCTCCACTAAGCTAGATTGTTTGATTCCCTAACTCTATGAAGAGTCACAATCACTTTCAGGTTTTAATTTTGCTCCTAGATTTACATGACTTTTGCTTTGTTTTTATCTTGGGCTACATCCAGCAGTGCTCAGGGCTTATTCCTTGATGAGCACTCAGGAATTATTTCTGGAGGTGCTAAGGGGGCTGTATGAGGTGCCAGAGGTTGATCCTGGGTCAGTAACATGCAAGGCAAGTGCCCCCACCTGCTGTACTATTGCTCCAGTCTTCGCAGCAGTTTTAATATGTTGTATAGTCCTCTTTATGTCAAAAGATGATTTCCCCTTGCTATTTTTTTAAAAAATTACCAAATGAAGAATATCCCTGGAAAGGAAGTTTAGACATTGTCTTGAGAGGAAGCACTGGAAAATCTACAACAATTGGTCTCTTGGGCTCTCAGATTCTCCAATGGGCTGAGAACAATTATTTTTACATTTCATGCTTGGTGAAAAATAACAATTATTTTGTGATTTTTCCATGGTCTCCCAGGGGGAGGGGGATTTTACAGACTTATTTTGAAACTTCTGGATCCATCTCCCATCTGGGAATATTTGTGTCGCTGTGACAGCATTTTAAGGAAACATAATACCGTGGTAGGGTTGTTTTTATGTGTATCTTTGGTGTCTCCAACTAGATTAAAGACTCCTTTATACACCTGCTGGACCATCCCTGCCTCAACCAGGCCAGGGAGCTGATTCTGAGCAAACAGCAGTGTCCTTAGGTTCTGCACGGCTGCTCTGGGATGATTCTCATGTTGTTGGGATCTGATTTTGCCATTCTCATGACCTCATTTTGTCAGCAGTATGCTCAGGGCTTGCTCCTGGCTCTGTGCTCAGGGATCACTGCAGGAGTTGCTCGGGGGACCATCTAGGGTGCCAGAGATTGAACTTGGTTCAACCACACGCAAGCACCTTAAGCCCTATGTCATCTCTCCAGCTATTTTTTGTTTTGTCATTTTTTTTCAGGTGTGCTTCAAAGACCCAGGATAATAGAGTAACTGTACAGCATCCTTCAATACATTTACAAGGCAATTTTTTTTCACTTATGCATCTCTGGCTCCCCATTCCAACCCTACCAGTGAGTTATTTAAAAGGGAACCCCAGGCACCCTATCACTTAAATATGTAAATATTTCAGTATGTATCTCTGACATCAGGATTCTTTTTTACTTTCATCACCATAATGTCACACCTAATGATGCCTCCGGTAATTCTTTAATAGACTCATTTTCTGATTTTCTCTCTTCACTTTGTGGCTTTTTCACAGTTGCATTGAAATGAGGAGTCAAAGAAGATCAACTCATTTCTTCGGTTGATTTGTTTCTTCTCTAGGTTCTCATTTCCCTTTCACCATTGCCATTTATTTATTGAAGCATGAACTCATTTATCTGAAGCAACTTTCTACATTCTGGGTCTTTCTTCTTGCATCCAGAGTGTATTTAATTATGTCTTCATCCCTTTGTGAATTTATCATTGGAGCAAGGGCTTGACCAGTTTCAGGTTCTGTTTCTTGTTTTTTAATTTTGTTTTGGGGCCACTTGGTGATGGTCAGGGTGTACTCCTGGTTCTGCGCTCAGGGGACCATATGTGATGCTCAGGGTTGAACCCAATTGGCTGCATGCAAGACAAATGCCCTAGCTGCTGAGCTATCGCTGCAATTCAGGTTCTTTCCTATGAGGCTGTGATAGGGATAGAGACTTCCTATTGCAATTTAGCAGGAAACGCGTTGTATCCTATCAGATTGCTTCTTTCAGTGGCATTAGGATTTTTCTTTCTGTGTGTGTGTGTGTGTCCATGCCCAGTGGTGTTTGGGGCTTACTCCTGGTCTGTGCTCAGGGATCACTCCTGGTGAGGCTTGGGGGAACCATATGTTATGCCGACAACTGAACCCTGGTGAGTTGCATGTAAGGCAAGCTCCTTACCCGCTGTACTGTCACTCAAACCCCATAGGAAATTGTCTCATCTTTCTTACACAAATTGTACTCTAGCCTAGACAAACATTGGGGGAATAAAAATTATTCTTTAATTTCAGCTCATAGGTGCAAATGGAAAGTGTTAAATTATCACAATTTTGCAACTTCTAGCCAAATGATGGGTATAAGTAATGGTCATCAATTAGAACCTTTGAAGTGCTGATGGAAAACGTTCCTAAAAGAGGGATAGATTGTATCAGTTAGAGCCATGAAAAATCCTAATGCTGTCACATGTGGTTCCCCAAACCAGGAGTAATTCCTGAGTGTAGAGTTAGGAGCAACCTCTGAGTATTGCTGGGTGTGACCAAAAAAAAAAAAAACTTTAAAAAAAGAGGCAACTGGGGGCTAGAGCGATAGCACAGTGGGCAGGGCATTTGCCTTGCATGTGGCTGACCCGGGTTCGATTCCCAGTATTCCATGTGGTCTCCCAGCACTGCCAGGAGTAATTCCTGAGTGCAGAGTCAGGAGTAACCCCTGTGTATTGCCAGGTGTGACTCCCCCAAAAAAGCTAAATAAATAAATAAATAAAAATTTTAAAAACTACTAAGCAAAAGAGGCAACTGTCTTTATTCACAATAATAAGTTGATCTCTTAGTCTCCAAAAGTGAACACTGAGATGTTTACTTTAGTGTTACTTTTATTGATGGGAATTATTGTTTTTGTTCTTGAGCCAGACCCAGTGTTCCTCACGACTTACTCCTGGTTCTACACTCGGGGAGCACTCCTGGTGGGGCTCAGAGGACCATATGGGATGCTGGGGATTGAACCTGGATTGATTCTTGTGCAAGGCAAGTGCCTTACCTACTGTGCTATTGCTTGGTCCCCTAACTGGTGGGCTTTGCTGGGTTCTGATTCTTTGCCCTCATTCTTCTTTACAGTCAAGTCATTCCATCTTTTTGGGGGGTGGTAGCATGGTTTAGGACACACCTGGAAGTGCTCTGTGGCTATTCTTAGTTCTGTGCTCAGCAGTGACTCCTGGCAGTGTTCAGGGATTCTAACTGGGTCAGACGTGTGCAAAGCAAGCGTTTTACCTCCAGTACTATCTCTCTGGTGCCAAATTGTCCCATCATTGGTAATGGCAGCCTTTTCAAGTAGAATCATATCATAACACTAGGAGTATTGCGACTGCTCTTGCGGTTAGGTAAAACAAGACTTCTAGGCACAGTTAATACCTTTCCTGTCCCAGATCCAGGATTTGTCATTTACCTAAGGTGCATTGGTGCTTCTCAGAAAAGCAGAAAGAAATCTAAGCTCTAGATGTATTCCTTGGTCATTTTTCTAGGCTTGTTCAGTGGATGGTGTGAGGATGTTTCGGGCTATACCTAGTTGTGCTCAGGGATAATTCCTGGTGGGACTTGGGGTTCAATATGTTTGTGCCAAGAATTGAACCTAGGTCAGCAGTGTGCAAGGCATGCACCTTCCCTGCTGTATTATCTCTCTAGCCCTGTTTGTTAAGTTGCTTTGGGTTTTGAGTCACCAGTACTTAGTGCTTGATCTTGGTTTTGTTCTCAGGGGTCACTCCTATCAGTGGCCTGGGCATGATATATTGTCCAGGGATCAAATCTGGATTTGCTGTTGCACACAGCATCACCTTAAGGCTAGCACCAGCCCCTGTGCCATCTCTCAGATCTCAACTTTATTATAGCTATTGATATCCCAGATGGCAATATTACTATTACTCACATAACTACTGAGAACAGATTGGGATTTTCGTTTGTCTCGTTAAGGATTCAATTAAATTATGGTGTCTTGAAGTCATTTGATACCTTTTCACTAATTCCATTCTTGACTTTTTGTTTTTATTTTCTTTGGATTGCTAAAGTTAAACTCCTTTCCAGGTTTGAACCCCAAAAGGAAGGGCTGCAAGTGTTCTGTCGAACTCAAATGCAGACGATATGTGGGAAATGCGTTGCAGACCATGTCCACGGAAGGGATGATCTCTTTGCAGTCAAAGACATTGTCCCTCCTATCACATGATGCTTGTGATCAAACTGTCCAGAGACATTGTTCCCTAACTTAGGGTTGGTGACTGGCCAATGTTGTCATCTTCTCAATTGTCCATTTGGCCTTCTTATGTTAGAGCTCCTTGTGCGTAAAATGGCGATTAACTATAATAGTGATTTTATTGATTTCTTTGGTGAAGATTAAAGCAGATACGCTTTGTGATGTTTCATTCCTTCTCCCCACCCCTCCCCCTTCTCTCAGAGCTACCACTGGGGAAACAGAGTGGGGAATCAAACCCGTCGGAAGATGGCATCCAAGCAGACAGAGCCAGTCACCATCATTAGTCTACGGAAGTTGAGTCTGGGGAACCCAGAGCCACAGCCTAAAGGTAAGATAGATCTAGAAGCCTCTAGTCCTCAAATGACTGCTCCATGCTGCGCTCCCCCCCCCTCAGCCCCCCATAGTTATTAGTTTGTGTAGTAACACCAGTCAGCTGGCCAGCAGGCTCCAGGGGCCCTCCACACTCATTCTCTTCCCACCGAGACTGTCGCTTTCACTTTGTGCTTCCTTTTTAGAGACCAAGACGTTCACTGTAGAGGATGCCGTGGAGACCATCGGATTCGGGCGCTTCCATATTGCCCTGTTTCTGATCATGGGCAGCACGGGGGTGAGTGCCACATGCGAGTCCGTTGTTGGACAGTGTTCCACTGATCTCACCTTGGGGCAGTCCAGTCAGGGACAGTGCGAAAGCGAGCAGAAACCTGGGGATTTTCTCTTGGGGTTGATCTAAAACTGCTTCTCATCTGCCCTCAGGAGGTGTTGAGCTACGAGAACTGAAATGAGTGTCGCTGTTTTCTGAGAATCCAATCCTTATTTATTTATTTATTTTTAACTAAAAAAATTAAAAATATTTTATATTTTAGAGCTGGAGTGATAGCACAGCCGGTAGGGCATTTGCCTTGCATCCGGCCGACCCGGGTTCAGTTCCCAGCATCCCATATGGTCCCCTGAGCACCGCCAGGAGTAATTCCTGAGTGCAGAACCAGGAGTAACCCCCTGTGCATCACTGGGTGTGACCCAAAAAGCAAAGAAAAAAAATTAAAATATTTTATATTTTATAATTGAATCACTATGAGATACACAGAAGATTGTTCATGATTGGTTTTCAGTCATGCAATGTTCCAACCTCTATCTCTTCACCACTGTGTGTTTCCCACCATCCATGTTCCCAGTTTCTCTCCCGCCACCCTCCTCTGCTCCCCACCAGTCTGCCTCTGTGGCAGGCACTTTTCTTCTTTCTCTCTTCCTCTCTTTCTTTCTCTTCCCTTTTGGGCATTCTGGTTTGCAATATAGGTACTGAAGGTTATTGTGTTTGTCTCTTTACCGACTTTCAGCACTCAGTTCTTGTCCAGAGTGATCATTTCCAGCTATCACTATCCCTGTCATAGTAGACTTCACTACCCTAACTGCCCCCCATTCTGTACCATTTGTAGCAATCTTCAATCCATGTGCCAGTCATCTTGTCCCTTGTTTCTATTGTCTTTGTGTACGAGTCTTATACTATTTTTTTTAATATTCCACAAAAGAGTGCAATGATTCTGATCTGTTCTGTTCCTCTCCTTCTGACTCATTTCACTTGGCATGAAACTCTCCATGGGCTGGAGCAATAGCACAGCGGTAGGACATTTGCCTTGTGCGCAACCACCCGGGCCGAGCCGGGTTCGATTCCTCCGCCCCTCTCAGAGAGCCCAGCAAGTTACCGAGAGTATCTCGCCCGCATGGCAAAGCCTGGCAAGCTACCCGTGATGTATTCCATATGCCAAACACAGTAACAACAAAGTCTCCAATGGAGATGTTACTGGGCCCGCTTGAGCAAATCGATGAACAACGGGAGGACAGTGTTTGTTTGTTTTGATACTCTCCGTGTTCATCCATTTATAAGCAAATTTCATGGCTTCATTTTTCTGGTGGCTGCATAGTATTCTATTGTGTAGATATACCATAGTTTCTTTATCCAGTCGTCTGTTCTTGGGTGCTCGGGTTGTTTCCAGATTCTGGCTCTTGTGCATGGTGCTGCAATGAGCACAGAAGTGCAGATAACTTTTCTGCAGTGTGCTTTGATGGTGTAAAAGTGAGGTAATTATATTCACCAAAACCATCAGAGCCCACACTACTGTAAATATATGACCCCCAAATACATCAAGTAAATCAAACACTGAGCCTTTTAAGGAGGTAGGCCAGTGAGAGAGAAGGAACCTCGGGTCATTGGTGGAGGGATGCTGATGCTGGTGGTAGGTGTGGAGTTGGAACATGAATTACCGGGAAAACTATCATTAGTAGCTTTGTAAATTACATTGACTAAGTAAAAAAAGTTTTAAATAAACTTTGATGAGGGGAAAAAAAGGTTTAAATTTCCCTAGAGGAAAGAAAGGAGAAAAACTAGATGGTATTACCCAAGTATAATTAGACACATGATTCTCAAACACTGACATCAGAACCACCTGGGACATCATTAAGTAGAGATTTTTAGATTTTTCTGGTTTATTTTATTTTTTTTTGGTCACACCCAGCAATGCTTAGGGGCTACTCCTGGCTCTGCAGTTAGGAATCAGTCCAGGCGGTGCTTAAGTGAACCATATGGGGTGCCAGGGATCGAAACCAGGTTGTCTACATGCAAGACAAGCACCTACTTACTGTGCTATCTCTTCAGCCGCAATTTCTAGATTTTTAAGGGTTTGTTCTATACCATCTATTATGAGGGAAGAAGAGTGATTGCTCTGTCCCAGGGCTTTCAGGAACTGTGGGGATACTGCTCAGAAAACACCCCACTCCCAGAAGGAAAAGAAGAAAGGAAGGAAGGAAAATAAAAGAAATGGCTTCTGGTGCATTTCTTTCGTTCTGCATTTCTTTCGTTCTGGTGCATTCTGGTTCGTTCTTCCAACCTACCAGCCAGGAATAGCTTTTCCCCTTTGCCCCACACCCCCCATCCCACACAAACCCTGGGAAATAAGACAGTTGATGTGGGTGTGGAAAGTCAAACCCCTGTACTCTCAAGGATAGGACTGCAGACTGTCTATCTAATGGAAAATATATATCTATACATATATCTTAATACATAGCATAATATATTTGTATATTATTATATACCATATATTATAGCACCAAACATAAATGTGTTACATATTACTGTTATATAATACATAACATATTCACCATGTCATACATGTACCATACAATGTATGTATCATATAAATACTTAGATAATATGTAGATGGTATATCCAATAGTTACTAGTAGTATTTTTGTTTGGTTTTGCTTTCATTTGGGGGCCACACCTGGAGATGCTCAGGGGTTACTCCTGGTTCCACACTCAGGAATTATTCCTGGCAGTTCTTGGGGGACCATATGAGATGCTGGAGATTGAACCCCAGTCAGCTGTGTGCAAGGCAATTGTTCTATCCACTGCACTATTAATCCAGCCCCATGTATAGTATCTGTTGTACCTAAAAGCATCGATAATATTGATGGTACTTTGTATATCAAGAAAGATAGTACAGCAGGTTGGGAGCATGCCTTGCACACGGCTGGCCTAGGTTTGATCCCCAGCACGCATACGGTCCCTTGAGCACCACCAGGAACGATCCCTGAGTGCAGAATCAGGTATAAGTCCTGAGCACAGCTGGGTATGGCCCCCCAAAAAACAAACAAACAAATAAATAAATAGATAAAACCTAAAAGACAGACTAGGTATGGATGGTGAGGGCACAGCTTCATGGCCAGAGCCTGGGTGGGCTCTTGTTCAGAGGTAATCTTTGAGGGCAGTAGTCGCCTTTGAGGGCCTCCATAGAACAATTTGGGTAGTGACCAGGACCCAATATGGGTCTGTAAGATGTTCCGTACAGAGCAGCTCAGTCTCACTACTGGCCTGGTCCTCTCTGCCATATCCCCGTTGGCTCATACAGCAGAGTATGGCCAAATCTTTGCCTGTCACTTCCTTCTGAAACTGAGGGACCAGGTCCTGATTGATATTCACCCAAATACTTTCTATTGGTGTGGGAGATGTGTTCAAATATCCAAATGTGCTTCTGAGGTTATCCTGCTATCTCTTATTCATGATACCTTTGAAACTAAAATACTATCTGAACTTCAACTATGGCTAAAATAATCCCCCAGGGTTAGCAAAGCTTTTATAATAGATTGACAAGCTCATATGTTACTTAGCATCACTCTCCCAGACCCTCGAGGTACAAATAATATTCTAATAGTAAGCTATAACAAGTCATGGTGTGTCCCATACTCATGTCCAGTACCACATCCATGCCCCACCTTAACTGTTCCTTTGCCCACTTAAAACCTTTGTCCCTAAGACTGTACCTTCTCATTCCTTATTCTAGGCATAGAACCTCAGAATCATCTTAGCCTTCATTCTTCCTTATCTTGTGATGGATCTCTATAATCTGTTTCGTGTGTGTGTGTGTGTGTGTGTGTGTGTGTGTGTGTGTGTGTAGGTTTGTTTTGTGTTGAGCCGCACCTGTTTCTGTGCTTGGGGGACCACGTGGTGATGGGGACCAAGCCTGGGCCTTCTGCATGTACAGCCTGTGCTCAGCTAACTGAGCTCACTCCAGTTGCCTCTCTTTATTATTTATTTTACTTTAATAAAACACCAAGATTTACAAAGTTGTTCATAATACAGCTGTTTCAGGTGTTCAATATTCCAGCACCAGCCCCACCACCAGTGTGCCCTTGCCTCCACCAGTGTCCCTACTTTCCACTCCCCTCCTTAGCAGGCACTAATTAATTTAATTTATATTGCACCTTACAACATATATCTTGTAGTGGTGTCACTAAAACCATGGCCCGGGGATTATTGAGCTGGTAGGGGTGAGTTGGGCTTTCTGTGCTATTGTTTTTGCTCATTGAGCTTCATGAGCTCAATGTTTCCATGTAATGCTCTTGTTTGTCTGGGCTGTTGGTTCTGTGAAGTTTGCAGGTGTTGCAAGGCCACATATGTTGTTTGCTTCAGGGGGCTGAGGAACTGAGGCCATCAGCTCCTGGTGTCTCTCTGAGATCAGCCGTGAAGCCAGGTCATTTCTCTGGCAACAGCACAGCTGGATGCGTGGAGGATGGGTGGAACACTGGCCTTCAGGAGGGTGGGAACTCTGCTCCGATCCTAGAATCCAGAGTCCGTAGCCCAGTGGCGGCTGGGACTTCCTGGGATAAGTCAGCTGCCAGCATCTCTCTGAGATCAGTTATCTGTTTATTCCTTTCATTCTTTCCTGGCATCTGCTTCATTTCCCCAGGGGAATAATCCACCCTCTACTACACCCCAGGGGCAGGACAGAGGGTGATGTTTCCTATCATAAGAAATATTTTGGTGTGGGGGTTAGAGCAATAGTATAGCGGGAATGGCGTTTGCCTTGCACACAGCCAACCCAGGTTCTATCCCGGCAACCCATATGGTCCCTTGAACACTGCCAGAAGCAATTCCTGAGCGCAGAACCAGGAATAACCACTGAGCATTGCTAAGTGTGACCCAAATAACCAAAAAAAAAAAAAAGAGAGAAATATTTCAGCATGCCCCTAAACACAATTTGCTAAGTTGACACCCCCTTCCTGACGGAGTCCGGCTGTGTTCCTTTCATTGTTGTCCAGCTTTATGAATCAAGCCTTCCCTTTCCAGGTTCGTAAGGTCAGAGATCAGGGACTGTGTTAAAAACCATCTATGAAAGATTCCCTGAGATGTCCATGATGGCAAGTGCATAAGTCAGAGGTCAGAGCGAGGTCCATGTGGAAGCAGAGGTTAACCAGGGACCATAATTAGCACCTGGGGACACTCATTAATCTAGGGACCATCTCAAATTGTGCGGCCCCTTGGTATCATTCCCGTGGAAACCAAAGTTCCCTGTGCTTCTTTCTCTCCTACGAGCAGTGCAGAGAAGGACCCAGTGGGTGCCCCCTGACTTGGAGAGGGGAAGGAGGCAGGAAAAATCAGGATGGTGGGCAGGAGAAACGGGTGACTCGGGCCCTTCACCATGTCCTTGCTCTTTGCCCTGCAGGTGGCTGAGGCCATGGAGATCATGCTCATAGCCGTGGTGTCCCCCGTCATCCGCTGTGAGTGGCAGCTGGAGAACTGGCAGGTAGCGCTCGTGACCACGGTGAGTGAAGCATCCTGCGTGCTGAATGACCCCTCTGGGGACTCCCTGCTCCCTTCCCCTCCTCGGTGTGTGCTGGCTGCAAAGTTCATGGGTTTTTGGGGCCCACGCCACCCTTCAAGGCTTGTCTTTTCCCTTGAGCATGACTGATGTCATTTCCTTTCCAGCTCCTAGGGAAAGCCCAGTATGCATATTCAGAAGGGCCTCCCCATGGGGGACTTTGGGGGCCATACAAGGCAGTGCTTAGGGACTATTCTTGACTCTCCAAAGTGACCCATGGCAGTACTCAGAGGCCATACATGATGCTGAGGGTCAAACCAGGGTGGGCTGCATGCAAGGTAAGCACCTTTAACCTCTGCGCTATCCAGTCCCCAGGAAAGTCATGGGCTAGTTGTACTTTAATGAGCTCTGAACTGTTACTCCAGGTAACTGAGAGGTTACTGGGATGGAGGTGACTTAACCAATCACCAAGTATCTCTCAGGGAACTGCTCAATTTCTTTCTTTCTTTCTTTCTTTCTTTCTTTCTTTCTTTCTTCCTTCCTTCCTTCCTTCCTTCCTTCCTTTCTTTCTATTTCTTTCTCTCTCCTTCCTTCCTTCCTTCCTTCCTTCCTTCCTTCCTTCCTTCCTTCCTTCCATCCTTCCTTCCTTCCTTCCTTCCCTCCTTCCTTCTTCCTTTGCTTGTTTTTGTTTTGCTTTGTTTTTGGACCACAACGGCAATGCTCAGGGCTTACTCCTGACTCTGCACTCAGGATTATTCCTGGCAGGCTTAGGGAACCATATGGGATGCCTGGGATCAAACTCTGGTCAGCTGTGTGGAAGGTAAGCTCTTTACCCACTGTGCTCTCGCTCCAGCCTGGAACTGCTCGATTTTCTAAGCACCATCATCGTGGCTTTCTGGATTGCCTACCACATTTGCTACAAAGCGGAGTTAACAATACTATCCATCATTTTAGAAAGGCATTGACTAAGCACCATTTTATTGGTCCAAGGCAGGGTGTGTGTGGACGAGTGTCTATGCATTTGGGGAAATACGCCAGTTCCATGCTGCAGGACTAGAAAGTCTGGATGAGCGAGTGGTGGGGAGCAGGTGGCAGAGACAAGCAAGTCCAGAGGCACCCCGGTGCCTGAACTCTCCTCCAGAAACCCCAGTACAGCCCTGTCCCCACCCCAGGGTAGGGACACAAGTCCCAAACAGGACCATGGCAACACCAATATGCAGAATGATTTTCCTTAATGTTCTTGTGGGGGCTGAGAAATAAGGCCAAAGGCCTTGATGCAGGAGGCCTGGGACCCATCCCTGACAAAGCATGGTCCCCTGAACACCACCAGGAGTGACCTTCAAGCAAACAAACAAAAAATATCTGACAAATGACCTTTTTATCAAATAACGAACATTTCATGCACATGTGCTTTGGCTTCCTAGTCATCATGCATTTCTCTGTAGAGAGGGAAGAGTTTACCCTCTCTCATGCAGAGCTCTGCCAATAATTTTTTGGTGGGGGGCAGGTGTGGGCCACGCCCAGCAGTGCTCAGGGCTACTCCTGACTTGGTGCTCAGGAGTCATTCCCAGTGTTGGTTGGAGGACCACGTGGTTTCTGGGATCAAACAAACAAAGCACAGACTCCACCCTTTGGTGGAGTATTCTGGTGTGTGTGTGTGTGTGTGTGTGTGTGTGTGTGTGTGTGTGTGTGTGTGTGTTTAAGTCTTAAAGGAGCCTCTTCAGCCAGGAGACTTGAAGGCCGAACTGCAGGCAAGGGGGCCCATTATGGTCAGTGCCTGTGAATCCTGAGGCCGTGAAGCTAGAGAGGGAGTAAGTTAGGAGATTGTGCAGGGAAGGGGCAGTAATGTGGAAGACAAAATGTTCTGGAAATACCTGGGAGGTAACTTTGGGGGAGGAGCACAAAGGAAACCAGTTGAGGAAGAGGAATTGGTTTACTTGGGTGCTGAAGTTGCTCTCCAAGCAGGCAGGACTGGGCGGGGACCCACTCTGGACCAGGCTGCCCTGAGAGGCAGTGGGGGAGAGGATGCCAGTCTGACGGCGGAGGCCTGGCACAGGGTGGGGCACTGTAAGAGAGGGCTTACCATCTGAAACTGGCATGGAGATGCTAAGCCAAGAGGGGCCCATCTTTCCCCCACTCACAATTGTACTTGCCTGGGCTCGTCTTCAGCGCTGGCAGGGGAAGAATTGCCCTTTGCTGAGGGATATAGGTGGCCTTCCCAGGGAGGGGCCAGTGCTGGTCTGGATTGGTCTCTGTGGACGGTAGCTGGTGGACTGCATTGGTCTCTGTGTCTTGCATGATGAGGAATTCAGTGTCAAAATGTATACCTAATCGTGCAGCAAATTGACCAGATTCTCTTAATTCCATTTTCTTCTTGAAAGTTCTTCTCTTCCAGGCAGAGTGATAGTACAGAGGGGAGGGTGTTTGCCTTGCATATGATCAACCTGGGTTCAATCTCTGGCATCCAATCTGGTCCCCTAAGCACTGCCAGGAGTAATTCCTGAGTATAGAGCCAGGAGTAACCCCTGAACATTGCTGGGTATGACCCAAAAAGCAAAAAATCAAATAAAATTAAGTTCTTCTGTTCATCCCTTTATGTTTGTTTTGGTTTGTTGGAAACTCCTATTTTTAGAAAAGAGTAAGGTTATAAAACCTAATGTCTTACCTAGGTTTTCCATTAAATAACTTAGATGGTCTTCACTTTCTTCTATATGCAAACTATAGTTGTGATTTAGAAAGCATTCCTTACTGGGGCTGGAGAGATAGTACAAGGGGTAGGGCACTTGCTGTGCATATGGTGGACCTGGGTTTAATCCCTGGTATTCCACATGGTTCTCTGAGCCCTGCCAGGAGTGATGCCTAAGTGCAGAGCCAGGAGTAAGCCCTGAGCACCCCTGGTGTACCCCTCCCCCTGAAAAAGGAAGAAAAAGATTCCTGTCAGTCCTTATATTTGTACAAGAATTGCTACAAAGCCCTGTGCAGGTGTAACCACCCACCCCGACCCAAGGCCATGGGTGTACAGGCCTGTGTTCCCGAGAATCTGGGTGAGTGTGGCATCTAACAAACTTGAATGATTTAAGGCTGATAATTAATGAGAGATAAAACAGAGGACAAAGTGCTCGCCTCACACATCGCTGATCTGGGTTTGATCCCTGTTACCTGAGCAGGGAGTCAGGAGTAAGCTCTGAGCACAAGTAGGTGTGCCTCCCCCCATCCAAAAAAAAAAAAAAACAAAAAAAAATTTTTAATGAAAGAAAATAATGACTCTACTCGAAACTTCTAGAAATATTAAATCTAGACATTAAAGTGGCAGGGTTTATTTACAAAAATAAATTGTATCTTCAATATGGTAGCATTGTATCTTTAGTATTAGTCATATTAAAAATAAAAAAGTATGGGGCTGGAGCAATAGCACAGCAGGTAGGGCGTTTGCCTTGCACGCGGCAGACCTGGGTTTGATTCCCAGCATTCCATATGGTCCCCCAGCACTGCCAGGAGTAATTCCTGAGTGCATGAGCCAGGAGTAACCCCTGTGTATCATTGGGTGTGTCACCCAAAAGCAAAAAAAAAAAAAAGTACCTCAAACCATACAGAAAAAAACAATCTAACTGGATTTTAAAAAATGTTTTAGTGCCTGAGAGGAAAGCCCAGGGCTGAGCACAAATCTTTGTATGTGGGAGGCTGGGTCAGAATCTTAGCACCTCTGTGAATCCCAGAGCACTGTCAGGAGTGACCCTTAAGCACTGCTAGATATGGCTCCAAAACACAACAACAACAAAAAAATCTATGTACTTGATACGTAAGGTTTTAGAAAAATACAGCAAAGAAGAAAAAGTATATTATTAATTAGCATTCTTTTTCAAAAGAGGGCGTATTAACACTGACCATGAGAAAGAAAATTATTCCAGAATCATCCTTCATTTGGAATAGTCTTAGATAGATGGAAGATCTTTATCCTTTTATTTCACAGTTGCTCAATGCACGGCCCTTAAGCCAGAACCCATGCCTGGAAAGTCCACTCTCCCCTCAGCTTGGCCTAGACAGTTCAGCAACCGGGGAAATCAGGGCTTTGATTCTAGAAAGATCTGCCGGGTGTCTCCCTCCTGTTTCCTGCGGGAGAAATGCATTCATATCTACCTTATGCATAGGGCTTAATGCCCCCTGATGAAATACAATAATATTCACACTCTTTCCACTAAGGAAACTTTTTTGTGGCATTTTCTGTGTTTTTTAATAATAAACAATACAAAATAAATTATTTCCATTTCTGCTTTGGGACAGAGATTGGGGTTCAGGATGGAAGCATTCGAAATTTGATGGTGGGAAGGTGTAATAGTGGTGGGATTGGTGTTTGATATTAGATGTAATCAAATATTGTGAACTACTATACAAAACAATTTTTAAAAATTTTTTTAATTAAGGGGGGAGAAACAAAAAAAAACCTTCCTTATGTAAAGCAAGTTAAAGGGCTGGAGTGATAGCACAGAGGTAGGGCGTTCGCCTTACAAGCGGCCAACATGGCCGACCCGAGTTCGATTCCTCCGCCCCTCTCGGAGAGCCCAGCAAGCTACCGAGAGTATTCGATATGCCAGACACAGTAACAACAAAGTCTCCAATGGAGACGTTACTGGGCCTGCTCGAGCAAATCGACAATTAACGGGAGGGCCTTTACCTTTACCTTTATGTAAAGCAAGAAGGGAGAGAAGGAGAAAGGTCGAAAATATATTTGTAGGGCTGGAGCGATAGCATATCGGGTAGGGCATTTGCCTTGCATGTGGCCGACCCAGGTTCAATTCCCAGCATCTCATATGGGCCCCTGAGCACCTCCAGGAGTAATTCCTGAGTGCAGAGGTGCAGAACCAGGAGTAACCCCTGTGCATCGCCAAAAAGAAAAAATAAAACAAAAAAAAGAAAGGAAGAAAGGAAGGAAGGAAGAAAGAAAGAAAGAAAGAAAGAAAGAAAGAAAGAAAGAGAGAGAGAGAAAGAAAGAGTGTTTGTGGAGCGAGTTCAGATGCCAAGTGAGCCCCTGTCCTTTAATGACCTGGAAGTCACCAGACAGAGATCAAGAAAGGAGGACAGTGACGCTAAGAGCTGCCGGGAAGTGAAATGAGATAGAGCCTTATGGATAGACAGCGTATTGCCACCAGGCTGAGCCAGGACTTAGCGCTCTGTCGCCAGGTTCCTAACTCAAATCAGGATAGATCAAGCCAGTGAAAGAAGTAAAAGACAAATTGGTTTTGAAGAGATTCTATATAAGTGACCGGTATTGGTGTTTAATATTTCTACCTTTCTACCTCGATGCTATTCTGCTATTAGCTAGAATAGCATCGAGGGGCTGAAGCGATAGTACAGTGGGTAGGGCGTTTGCCTTGCACGCGGCCAACCCAGGATGACCCAGGTTCAATTCCTCCACCCCTCTCAGAGAGCCCAGCAAGCTACTTAGAGTATCCCGCCTGCACAGCAATGCCTGGCAAGTTACCTGTGACATATTCAATATGCCAAAAACAGTAACAAAAAATCTCACAAAGGAGATGTTACCGGTGTTCCCTCTAGCAAATTGATGAACAATGGGAGGACAGTGTTACAGTGCTAATAGCATCGAGATGGTTCTAGGGGCCAAGGAGATAGTACTGCTCCTGACTCCAGTTTGATTCTTGAAACCGCACACCCCCTTGAACATTTCTGACTCTGGCTGAGGTGGCCTCCAAGCATGGCCAGGGGGAGCGGGTCTGAAATTGCTGGCCCCAAGCAGCACCGCATCCTCGGACCCTAGCACTGAACCTCTCACCTGACTGGCCAAGTAGCATCAGGAATGTGCCCTGGGCCAAGCAGGAGGTCTGGGCTCAACCCGTGGTCTCCTGAGCACTGTCAAGACTCCCGGAGAGCACAGAGCTGGGCTCCTGAGCATCACAAATTTGGCCCCATAACCAAAGCTCAGGGCAAGAGTCTAGCAAACTCCACCAGACGCTTCCTGTCTACTCTCGGCTAAGATGGAAGGAGGTTTAATGCAGCGCATTCGCAGATGATCAAAGCTCTGCTTAGAGAATATTTCTTCTCGCCCCCAGATGGTGTTTTTTGGCTACATGGTCTGCAGCATCCTCTTTGGTGTCCTGGCTGACAAATACGGCCGCTGGAAGGTAGGTTGGCCCCAGGAGGAGTGACAACTGTCTCTGCAGGTGATGGAGTAATTGGGGGCAAAACCCTCTGTCAGCTGAGGTCCAGGCTTGCCTTCCAGCTGTTGTGGTCTTCGCCCCTTAAGGAACTTTTCCCCGGGGTGGAGGTGCCTTGTACAGTGGTAGAATGTGGAGATTTGCAGAGGTTTTGCTTCCAGTGACTTTGCTAAAGCTTTGAACAAAGTCACTTATTCAAGGTCACACACCCAATTCCTCAGGTCAGAACGTAAAGCGATGGCTTTGATCACAAACCCACATGTTCCTTCTAATTTCTGGTCAGGAAGACTTTGCTGAGCAGAAACAAAATGGGAGAGATCATCCCACACACACACTCAGTATGGAGAGATTCACTGGATAATTTGTGTGTGTTTTTTTTTTTTTTTTGCAGTGTTGGGGATTAAACCAAGAGTTTCATTTTACATATGCAAGAGACCAGTGCCCTACCACTGATCTACATTCCTGGCCCATGGCTGCATGTGTGTGTGTGTGTGTGTGTGTGTGTGTGTGTGTGTGTGTTTTGTGTATGTGTATGAAATGAAGTGAACTAGTGGAGCTCAAAGGTCATTCCTGGGAATTCTTGGGGGATCACAAGCTACCAGGAGACCCATAAATTGAACCAGGGTTGTCTGCATGTAAGTACCTTAACCCCAGTAGTATTTCTTCAGCCAACGTCTAAAACTTTTGAAGTACACAAAATAAATATTACCTACTCCTAAATTAATATGAAAGCAGCAGTACCTAAACTTTGTAAATGGAGCTGGAGAGATAGTATGGGGATTGAGGTGCTTGCCTTGTACCCCAGTTGGAATCCTTGGTACCATATAATGATCCTAAGAGCACCACCAGGTCTCACTCCTGAGCAGAGTCAGGAACAGAGCTAAGCCCTGCCTACTGATAACCCCTCAATTGTAAAGAACTCTAAAAGACATTTTGTAAAAGGAAAATTCACTGTATAATTTTCGTGTTTCCTTTTTTTATGGTATTGGGGATTAAACCAAGAGTTTAGTAAATGGTCAAGAAATCTTCAAAATAATCCTAAGAATTAACAAAAGCAAAGTTTTATATAGCAAGATCAATTATTTTTCTTATTGAATCTGTAAGTAATATTTCTTTATTGCTCGGTTTTTCACTTTAGGGATGTGACACCCAGCGGTGCTAGGGGCTTACTCCTGGCTCTGTACTCAGGGATCATTTTTGGTGGTGTTTAGGGGACCATACGGGGTGCCAGGGATTGAACATGGTCTGCCACTATTGAGCAGGGCAAGCTTCCTAACCACTATGCTATCTTTCCGGACCCGAGAAAATAAGATTTTAAAAAATTATGTTAGCAGATTAGTCTTTGAGTTGGAGAATGAAGTATGTTGAGATATTTTTCCTTTTTGTTTCCTCCTATTTTTCTTTGTGAATTATTCTTATAATTAAAGAAAAGACAAACGTCATAAGTTTTCTCTCACACTCATCCCAGCACAGTATTTTCTGTGCTTCTGACATTCCCCGGGAGTAGGACGGGCAAGGATTTGTAATCACACATACACGTTCAAATTCCTGGGACCAGTGGGGCAGCTCCACGAGCTGAGCACATTTTTTCATGTGGTAGGCCTGAGTTCCACCCCCTTGACCTCATGATCCCCCAAAAGCACCACCAGGAGCATCTGAGCACAGAGCTGGGTCTCTGAACGCCCTTGGGGGTGGCCCAAAATTCAAAACCTAAACCAACAGTCAAGTTCCTGATGCTTGCGCCAGCGCCCCCTGCTGGACAGTCTCTCCATCACAACTGGGTGTGCCCTGGTGGTGAATGGTTTGGGATGAGCTGCCCAGTGTTTGTGGGAAACCAGCGGGCTTGCACCACACCAGTTTGTCCGGAGCATGCATTGGGATAAACATAACACACACACACACACACACACACACACACACACACACACACACACTAAAAATAAAACAAAAACCTCCTTCAGATGTTAGCTTTCTCCAGAGCCTCTCATCCAGTAGTTCCCCTGTTACGTCTCCTTTTATTCATTGTTTCAGATTTTGTTCCTCTCATTCGTGTGGGGCGCCTACTTCTCCTTGCTGACGTCCTTCTCGCCGTCCTACACCTGGTTTGTCTTCCTGCGGGCCATGGTGGGCTGCGGTGTGTCCGGCCACTCTCAAGGGTAAAGTCTTCACATGAAGGACCCGGGGGGCAGGGAGAGATATAGGAACCCCTAATTTTCACACGTGCACTCTGCTTGATCGCTGGATAGCATCGCCACGTTGCAAACCGACACATCACTCGAGCAAATTATTTTCTAGCCTTGAAAAAACAAGTCAGCAAACAGACACATGTCACTTTCCAGTTGGAACAAAATGATATTGGATGGTGAAGCTTGTGGAATGCTCAGTAGAGCCTGGGATAACTTTGTTGGTTTCTAAGACTGATTGATCAAAAAGCACCGTAGATAATATTCTGTTCATCTGAAAACAAAAAAGCACCAAATGTCACACAAATATGGGTTCAGATGCAACTGAATTAGTTCATTTCTTGAGAATTTGTTGGAAGAGATGAGTTTGCCCATCAGCACCTGTGAGCGTTAGGAACTCCCGTGTTCGAGCACTCTTGCCTCTGTTTAAGACAGTGGCGCTGTGAATTTGTGAGCAAGGGGGAGAGAGGTAAACCCACTCCTGCATATGCTTCTGGGCTTCCACGGTGTGTCTGTGTGGGAAAGCTGCTCCCTGGCTGTTTTAGCACTTGGGGGGTTCTTCCTTAAACCAGGGGACCCTCTCGGGCTTTTTCCTCCTGGGCGCCTGGGAGCAAGTTACTCTGGGATTCTGTTACAAGATGTCAGTGCACCTTATTATTACTTGGATGTGTTTGGGGACCAGTGGTTCTTCCTCGGGCACAGGGAACATACCACTGGGCTTTGGAGATCTAGGGGGGATACGAGTTAGGTGCGATTTTGAAACACCCCTCAGGACATAACTGGATAAGTAGGCTGGAACTTACCCAAGCCCTGGTTAATAACTGGGGCTAGAGGAGAATTATTAGAAAAGTGATGGAATATGACACTGTAGTTTTGTTTTCTACTCAGAAGATGAATGTGTGTTTAGAGACCAGGATTGTCTCTTGACCCATTAGTTGGGGAAAACACTTACTTTCTCTTGGTTACTTTTTAAATTTCTCAAGTATATTAAATTTGTCTAAGTTATCTAGACATGTGGACTATTTAAAAATATTTTGATTGAAGTATGAATGTCATGGCATATTAAACTAGGTTTGGGTACGTAACATTGCAAGTTAATATTTGTCTTCCAATATTTTAGAAAGGGGATCGAAGCGTGGGCAAATATTTTGCTAGTTTCTCTGGGCGAAAGAGATCCCACGTGTAACAATCCCATTCCTCTTAGCCATAGAGGTGACTTGGTGGATAAATACCGATGACTGTCACCAAGATGGGAAGAAGAATGTAGATAAGAGACTGGTCTGAAACCTCCTTATACTTCTGTGTGACCTTCCATCTGGGTCTCTTACCCAGGGGTTAGTGGTAACAGAATCTGCTGTTGGATTGTTTAGGAACAATCGTTGGCCTTCACACACTCCCACCCATGATGGCACATAGGACACAGTGCCATCCATTTTGCCCCCATATCAGCCAATTCTCTAGCTGGATACTTTAGGATCAGTTCTGACTATAATTAGACTTGACTCAGACGGGTAAGGAGAACTCAGACTCACGAGACAGCTTCCCTTCCCTCCACCCTGGGCCCCGGCTTCAGATACTCTTAGATCCTTCACATTTTTCTACCCAGCTCGACTCTCCATGGAAGTATCCATGGATCTTTTCTCAGGCTTGACGATTTGCTAGGGCGGCCAATGGAATCCAGGAAAACTGTTTACTTAGTATGGTAAATGGGTCATTTTTGAAAAGCTTTTTTTGTTTGGGAGCTATGTTCAGCCGTGTTCAGCGATCATTCCTAGCTGTGCCCCAGGGGACCATATGTGTTGCCGGGGACCATACTGGAGTTGGCTGTGTTCAACGCAAATGCCTGCATGCCTGGGTCTCTCTCTGACTCAACTGTAAAGTTTATTTGAAAGGCCATTTGGTGCAGGGGGATGGAGGGCGATGCCCAAAATTGCTCCTTGGGCAATGTCTTTCTTTTCCACCCAGTGGGGTCATGTGCCCTCCTGAACCCATCCTGTGCTCTAGAGAGTTTTATGGATGGTTTATCACTGAGACAAGGCAGATCACTAACTCCTGTCCAGCCCCTCTTCCTTGTCTGGAAGACAAGGGGTAGCAGGAAAGTTCTAGGCTTCTGATCCTGGCTTGGCCTTTCTAGATCCCCTTAGCTAGGAACTCTGGCCTTGCCCCATGAGAACAAAAGATGCTTTTCCATCTGCAAAATTCCACGGGATGAGAAGCGCTGTGTTGCACCCAAGGGAGAGACCAAGCACAAGCAGAAATCAGTGGAAGAGATCAAAAAATTGATAATTTTTTTAATAAAAAAATTTTAAATGCCTTTACAAAATTATGATTAGTTTATAATGATGAAGGTCTATGTGTCTAAGCTATTTGTCCCTGTGACAAGTAAAAGGAGAACTGATTATTTTTAAACGTCATTTGGCTTGGATTTTATAAGAACAAAATTACTGTGTGTGTCTCTCCCCTACCCCATGTTCAGACTCATCATAAAGACCGAGTTCTTGCCGACAAAATACCGAGGCTATATGCTCCCTTTGTCTCAGGTAAGGCCACGGAGCAATGGCACCCAGACTTCTGGTCCCCTAGGATGTGATACACCTGGTTTCTCTTCTGGCTGATTTTTTGCTTTCTTGTTTTGGGGCTGCACCTGGTGGTGCTCAGGGCTTACTCCTGCCTCTCTGCTCAGGGGTCACTCCTAGTGGTGCTGGGTGCAAGGCAAGCACTGTCCCTCAGGCCCAATTGTTGATTTTTTTTCTTTTCTTGCTGAGCTTGGGGCCTCTTGGCATCACCAATTAATAACATTTGGAACAGTTGGCCCTAGGAGTGTACAGGCAGGTTTTCTGGGTCAATACAGGACCTGTATTGTCCAGTAGAAGTCCGTAGGACTCAGTCACTGTTTCCTTAGAACCAGGCGATATTCCCAGGATGGTTTCCCTGGGCTGACACAGCCCAGGGGTGTGGGTGAGCTGAGCTGCGTCTCCCCACTGAGACTACTCTCCTGCCAGTGTCACCCTGGTCCAATACAGGTGGTGTGTCTATGGCTGGTCTGTGCCAGTGGGGAATGTTTGGCAAGGACCATCTTCCAGCTGGGCCATTGATCCAGGATAGGCTGCTCCCAAGTCTTCTTCAGGCCTGCTGACTTTCATCAGAGTTTTTGCTCAAAAAAAAGATATTCCAGGGGCTGGAGTGATAGCACAGCGTGTAGGGTGTTTGCCTTGCATGCAGCCGACCCAGGTTCGATTCCCAGCATCCCATATGGTCCCCCGAGCACCGCCAGGAGTAATTCCTGAGTGCGTGAGTCAGGAATAACCCCTGTGCATCGTCAGGTGTGACCCAAAAAGCAAAAAAAAAAAAAAAAAAAAAGATATTCCAGTCTAGATTCCCTGAGGGCCGGGTTTGGGGCTCAAGAGCAAAGTGTGGTTGGTGAATGCAGCCAACCCAGTTCAGATCCTGAGTACCGCTAGGGGTCACTCCTGAGCACAGAGCCAGGAATCACTCCAGAGTACCATGGGGCATGGCCCCAAACCCACTCCCTATTCCCTGTAATAATGGGCTGATTATTTGTCTGTCTGAGGATCACATCCAGAGGAATTCAGTCAGAAACTACAAGGCACCATGCTCCAGCCCCTTGAGCCATCTCCGAAGTCCCATCCATTGATTTAAGAAGGATTTGGTCGGGGGCTGGAGCAGTAGCACAGCGGGTAGGGTGTTTGCCTTGCACGTGGCTGACCCGGGTTCGATTCCCAGCATCCCATATGGCCCCCCAAGCACCTCCAGGAGTGATTCCTGAGTGCAGAGCCAGAAGTAACCAGGTGTGACCCAAAAAGACAAAAAAAAAAAGAACAGTTTGGTCATTTCACTACTAAGATCCTTTTCAAGGCTGACCCCCTCCCTCTAGGTCACCTGCACTTTATGTCCCGGCTTTATTAGTCTGTCTGGGCCGAGGTCACGCAAATGTTGTCACTACCGTGACATTACGCCTTTCTCTCCAGAGCCCCTAGCATTTGTGCAATCATTATTGTCTTTTTTTTTTTTTTTCTGAAATAAAATTCTGTGGTTGGGGCTGGAGCGATAGCACAGCGGGTAGGGCGTTTGCCTTACACGCGGCCAACATGGCCGACCCGAGTTCGATTCCTCCGCCCCTCTCGGAGAGCCCGGCAAGCTACCGAGAGTATTCGATATGCCAGACACAGTAACAACAAAGTCTCCAATGGAGACGTTACTGGGCCCGCTCGAGCAAAATTCTGTGGTAGTAAAATCATCTTTCTTTAGCCAGTGCCCCCGAGCCTTTTATTATGTCACCATCTCTGTGCTGTGCCATGTGTGTTCCTGCTTCTCCTCCCTCTCTTAGAATTGTGCCCTTCCCATTCAGTGGGGCCTGGCCACCATGAGTCATTCCGTGATGTAAAGTCATCTCGGAGATGCTTCAGTGTAGAGTGTATGTGAAGAAAATACATACTGTGTGCCTGGCATAAGCTTGGGGGTGGGGGGCCGAGAGGGGGTGATATATACTAGTACCAATGAGTACTTGGGAGAAGAGATGCTTTCCACCTAGTCTTGGTGCCTTTTGAGTTATGAGTCAGTGATTGGATAATCATTTCCTATTCAAGGGAAAGTCCCCCTCTGCCACCTCTTAGCAGACTCCATTTTTATTTATTTATTTATTTATTTATTTTTAAATCTTTAATTTTTTAGCTTTTGGGGTCATACCCAGCGTTGTTCAGGCGTTACTCCTGGCTCTGTACTCAGGAATTACTTCTGGTGGTGCTTGGGGCACCATCTGGATTGCTGGGCATCAAATCTAGGTCCACCATCTGCAAGGCGAACACTCTACCTGCCATAATATTGCTCCGCCCCGAAGACCCCATTTTTAATGTCAGTTTGGTGACAGGAGCCACCCTTTGTTTTAGGTAAATGTTCCTCTCGCAAGAACATGGGGAGTGAAATGACATCCCCGGGTGTTGGAAGGAGGGCTGGGCAGGGGGAGGTGGGGGCTACGGGAACCACTGGCTTTTCCAGCAGTGACACCCATGTTGACCCCAAGGTTCATAATAATCAGTCCATAATAACCGGGCGTGAGGGTGTAGTTTGGGGCTACGCTCAGGGGTGATTCCTGGCTCTGTGCTCAGGACGGTGCTCAGGATTTGAACTGGGTTGGCTCCACCCACACTTTGTTCTTGAACCCCAAACCCAGCCCTCAGGGAATCTAGATTAGGATATCTTTTTGAGCAAAAGCTCTGATGAAGATCAGCAGGGCCTGAAGAAGACTTGGGAGCAGCCCATCCCGGATCAGTGCCCCGGCTGGAGGGGGCTGGCTGGTGGGCTGGGTGGCGCGGGTCGCAGGGCTCAGGGCGCGCGCACACGGGACTGGGAGCGCGGCTGTCCCGCAGGTCTTCTGGCTGGCCGGCTCCTTGCTCATCATCGGCATGGCCTCCGTGATCGTCCCCACCATCGGCTGGCGCTGGCTCATCCGCATCGCCTCCATCCCTGGCATCATCCTCATTATAGCTTTCAAGGTGAGCTGCTGCCCGCCTCCCCTCCCGGCATCCAGGCCTCCAGGCCTCCCTCTCGGCTGGTGTGGGAAGGGCCTTGGGCAGGGCTGGAGTTCCAGGACACCAGTGAAGGCGTGATCGTGCACAATGCGTTTGGGGACAGCAGTAGACTGGGGTGGTTGGGGTGAGGGGGCTCAGGACGGGCGGCGGGCAGGCCGGGAAGACGGGCCTGTGGCCAGGTTTCCTGGGCCATAAGGACCAGGGTTGTAGGCAGTGAGGAGGAGGTGGTCTCCTGCTGGCGAGAAGCCAGGCTGAGTGCTCCCCGGGCAAGAGGAAGATTTCAGAGGCCAGAGGAGCAGCTGAGAAGTTGGGGCCCCCATGGGAGATGAGGAAGGGTCCACAGTCATGGAACTGGGGCACTGCCGGAAGGGAAGCTTTCCTGAGGGTGGCCTTGCCCCAGTCCACTTCCCTCTCCATGGCTCTGCATGTCCCATGTCTGTGGGGGCTTCCAGCTGCTCCTACCTCCCGAGGACTTGCGTGTGCGGCTTGCAGGTGAGTCTGCACTTTCTGCACTGGGTGTGGGTGTGTGTGAGTGCCCGTGTGTGGTGTGTGAATGTATGTGAGTGTGTACAGGTGGGTGAGTGCATGTGCGTGAGCATGTGCATGTGTGAGTGCATTGAATGTGTGCATGTGTGTGATGTGTGAACTCATGTGAATGCATGAGTGTGCAAGTATATGTGCGAGTGTGTGTTTTTGTGTGAGTGCATGTGCAAGTGTGTGAGTGTATGTGTGTGCATGTATGTGAGTATGTGTGTGCATGTGCATAAATGAATGGGAATGTGCATATGTGTGTGAGCACATGTGTGTATGTGTTGAGTGTGTGTTTGTGTTAGTGTGTCTGTGTGTGTTTGTGTGTGTGTGTGTGTGTGTGTGTGTGTGAGATGTGACCTGATGTGGAGGGATGTCCTGTCCAAGGTTCTTGCCATGTGTCCTGAGCTACTGGGAGAGGCTCTTGCCACCTGTGACTCTGAACTGAACTAGAAAAAGCCACTTGGAAATAAGACAAATGAATCAATGAATGAGTAAAGTGATGATTTAATAGCAGATGTATTTGGGGCTTTATCTAGTTTTTTTGGTGACCAGATATAGTTTCTGGGATCTGACCTTCTTTGTATCAGTCAATCAATGGTCAATCTGGTTTCCTTTGCTGTGTACAACTTTGCTTCCAGTGGCAGCTTTCCGGCCTCCGTAGAGCTTGCTCAGAGCGAGATGGCAGGTGCCGGGGTTTCACTGTGTTCAGGGTCCCTGCGCCAACCTGACGGCAAGCCCAGCATCCTGCTGTGTTACGTCGCGGACCTGGGACCAGGCAGCGCCTCTTTTGTTCCAAATCAACTTGAATGCAAAAGAACGCTTGCTGGTCCCTTCACTCTGGCGGCCGCACCACGGTGACCACTCTTGTCCTTGTCTCCTGTGCCCAGTTTATTCCTGAGTCAGCCCGGTTCAACGTCTCCACTGGGAACACGCAGGCTGCCCTGGCCACACTGCAGAGCATCGCCAGGACCAACCGTTCAGTCATGCCCGAGGGGAAACTGGTGGAGCCCGTGCTGGTGAGTCCCAGACACGAGGGGGGCCCCTTGCAGGGTGCCCCCAACCCCTCAGTCATGGTGGGCCCAGGGAGAACTTGGCTCTCTGGTGCCACCCCTGGAGGGCAAGAGTAATGACCAGAGGCAATGGGACCCGCCCAGCTCCCCTTCAGCACACTGACCCTCTCTTGGGCTAGCCTTGCTCCCTGTCTCGGGGCTCTACTTGGCTGTGCTTGGGGCTTACTCATGGCTTTGTGCCCAGGAATCACTCCTGGTGGCTCTCAGGGGACAATTTGTAGGGCCAGAAATCAAATTCAGACTGGCTATGTGCAAGGCAAGTGCCCTACACGCTGTGCTATTGCTTCCATGCGTGTTTTAGTTTGGGGAGCCACAGTTGGTGGTGCTTAGGGCTCTTCCTGGTTTGATGCTCAGGGGTCGCTGCTGGTGGTGATTGGGAGACTATATGCAGTGCTGAGGATCTAATTGCCATGGGTCATGTTATGCCCTGTACTATCTCTCGGTCCCTAATGTTCTTTGTCTTTTTTTTTAAACAAGACACTTTAAAACAATAAATGAATCAAAGATGGACTACTTCAAAATTATGTAATATTTGCAATACATTTAGAGCTGGTATATTTTACAAAGGATTGATGACTTCATTATTATTTTTTATTTTTTTATTGTATCACCGTGAGAACAGTCACAAAACCTTTCAGTTCAAGTCTCGGTCGGTTATACAATGATCAAATACCTGTTCTTTCACCAGTGCACATTTTCCATCACCAAGAACCCCAGTATACCCCCCTCCCAGTCCCCCCCAGCCTGTGTGGCAGATTTCCACTTTACTCTCTCTCTCTCTACGTTGATCACACTCAATATTACGACAAAAGACCCAACATTGTTATTTGGAATTTTCCCCAATATTCAAACCTGCCACAAAGACATCATTAGATAATTTGTTTTCTATTGCTGATTATGAAGAGCATATGATGTCGTGTGGCCACAATAGCGGCCACACAAATTTGGATTTCTGATATTTTAGTAATAAACCTAGAAGGATTACTGCCAAAATCCCTTGGGTTTCGAGTGTTCTTTGTCTTTTACTAGTAAGTTTGACCCAGAACTCAGGAAGGAAGGGTTCATGCCAGTTGTTGAATCACTGTACATGGTTCCCTGAATACCGCTGGAGTGACCCCTGAGCACCAGGAGTGACCCCAGGACTGGGTATAGACCCAAACCAGAATAAACCCATTATCCCACACTGTTCGCCCATGCTCACACTGGCCTTTTAGTAAGCATTTACAAGTAAGCACTTCGTAAAACATTCTTACTTTACTTTGCAGTGCCTTACCCATACATACACAAGCTTCAGAGTTGAACCGTAGAACCAAAAAAAAAAAAAAAACAAGCTTTCTTTCAAAGGGTTAAGACTCAGTCTGTCATTCTACTTTCTTTGGTGAATTGAGGAAATTGGGTGCCAGGCTTCAAGGGTTCAGAGGTCAAGAAGCTACTATCTGTGGGCCATTATCTCCCACCTTTCAACCATGCCAGGATGATTACATCCTAGCATGTGGAGCATGATGGGAGGACTCATTAGTTGCTAGGCAACTGTGATTAAATGAAGGATGCTATTATGTCTTGTAGAGACTGGCATGTAATCTTTAAATAGTTATGAAAATTTGATTGTCAGCAGTATAAAAAAAAAATAAAACTGGTTGCAGAGAGAAAGAATCTTAGCAGAGACAATGAACTCAAAACCAGGGACAGCTGTAGGAAAACAAAGGCCCAAATCTAGCTAGTTGGTCCAAGTACCAGTGTTTTTTTTTTTTTTTTGGTAGGGGGTGGTTGTACCCGGCAGTTCTCAGGTTTTACTCCTGGCCCTGCACTCAGGGATCATTCCTGGAAGGCTTAGAGGACCATAGGGGATGCCAGGGATTTAACCCAGGTGGTCTGCATGCAGGGCAAGTGGCCTCCCAGTTATACTAATGCTCCAACCCAATGTGTACTACTGTTTTAAACACAAACACAAACACCGTGCTCCCGTTATTCATCGATTTGCTAGAGAGGGCCCAGTAACGTCTCCATTTTGAGACTTGCTGTTACTGTGTTTGGCATATTGAATACGTCACGGGTAGCTTGCCAGGCTTTGTCGTGCGGGCGAGATACTCTCCGTAGCTTGCCGGGCTCTCTGAGAGGAGTGGAGGAATCGAACCCGACTTGGCCGGGCTGGCTGAGCACAAGGCAAATGCCCTACAGCTGTGCTATTGCTCCAGCCCTTAAAAAAATGAATGTTAATTATTTTGGTCACATCCAATGGTGCTCAATGCCTACACCTGGCTCAGTGCTCAGCAGACCATATGGTGTAAAGGGTTGAACTTGAACATGCACGCCAGCTCCTTGAGCCATCTCCCTGCCCCTGGCTCACCATTAAAATATCAAACAGGCATTGAAATGCGCTGAAGTGCCCCGCCTCTTCCCCCCTCCTTTTCAGTCTTTCTTCCCCTCCTCCCTTTCCCTCTTCCTGCCACCCTTCCTCCTTCCCCATCCAGCCCCATTCTCTGTCCCTGGCCTCCTTCCTGCCCTTTGTACTTTGTACCCTTTGTACCTGAGGCTGAGGGTTCAGCCTCAGGTCAGATGGGGCCGAGCCCCAGCACACAAGCTGAAAGCCACCGTGTGCACTAGAACCATCCTCGCAAGGTTCTACCAGCCTGACAGTCAACCACAGACACTGATTTCTGTGCTTTTCTGGAAGCTTCCACGTCTGAGCTGATGGCTTCTGCAGAGGTGACTGCTTCTGAGGGCCTTTGTCCACCATGTGGGTGTTTTCTCCCTGTGGGTTTGGTCTTCCTGATATCTTTTCCTTTGTTTTCCTCTTCCTCTACCTCCTCCTCCTCTTCCTCTCCTCTTCTTCCTCTTTTCTCCTTTTGGGCCACGCCTACTGATGCTCAAGGGCTGCTCTCAACTGTGTCCTCTTGACCACTCCTAACCAGGGACCATGCAGTCTGGGGACAGAATCCCACATGTATGAGCTCTACTCTACTGAGGTCTCGCTGGCTCTTGTTTTCTTATAAAGAACATTAAGTCAGACTAAATGAGAACCCAACGTAATAAGCTCGTTTCATTGTCTTTAAAGACCTGATTTCCAAATATAGACATTCTCTCTCTCTCTCTCTCTCTCTCTCTCTCTCTCTCTCTCTCTCTCCATGTATTTGAGGTTTTTTCCTTTTTTTTTTGTTTCCCCCTAACTTTATTTTAAACACTGGTATAGGAGCTGGAGCAATAGCACAGTGGGTAGGGTGCTTGCCTTGCACATCGCCGACCTAGATTCGATTCCCAGCATCCCATATGGTCCCCTGAGCACCGCCAGGAATAATTCCTGAGTGCATGAACCAGGAGTAACTCCTGTGCATTGCCGGGTGTGACCCAAAAAGCAAACAAACAAACAAACAAACAAAAAAATGGTATACAAAGTTGTTTGGTTATCGTGTGGATATGGTCGATGGTGCTGAATCCTTTGCGGAACCCGGCTTGCTCCCATGATTGTCCTTCATCTAGTGTTCTGCCAATCCTATTTAGGATGATTCGAGTGAACAACTGGTAGATGACAGACAATAGGCAGATCGGGCGATAGTTGCCAATGTCATGGATGTCTCCCTTCTTGTACAGTAGTACAGTCCTGCTGATTTTTCATTGGGACGGAACCTTGCATTCAGACAGGTAGCGTGTGAAGTGCCGAGCCAACGTATTGATGAGTACTGACGGCAGGTTCTTCAGGTGTTCAGGTCTGACCTTGTCTGGGCCGGGTGCTGTTCGTTTCTTTACTGACGAAATGGCGTGTCGGATTTCGGAAGGGAGAACATTGGGAATGACATATCCATCCTGTGGAATTTGTTATGTCGGCAAGTGGACTTGGCTATCGAAGAGATTTGAGTAGAAGTCATGGATAATCTTCTCCATTGCCCTTCTGGAAGATGTGATAGATCCATCAGGATGTCGGAGGGCAGTCATCTTGGTCTTGTAGTTGGCGAAGGACAAGCGGGTGTTATGAATACTTTTCCCAGCTTCTGCCACTTCTACCAGCACTTCTGCTTCTTCTCTCTTTGAGGGCTTCCTTGATCGCATCTCTGCACTGCTTTGTGAGCTCGGACGCTCGCTTGCGGTTGCCTGAGGCATGCACCAAACCATGTTGGCGAATAAGCTCAAGAGTTTTCGAAGACAGGTGTTTTTTTGTGGCTATCTCTCTCTTGGTGTTCCTTGCACAATCATGGAGGTGCTGAACTAGTTGATCGTATTCCTCATCAATGTTGTCAACAATGGCATCTTGCCATGTTGCCGCAATAGTGCCAAAGAGCTCCCAGTTGGTGGTGGTTCTGGGAGTTCTCTTTTTAAACTTTGCAGCCCTTTCTACCCGCTCTGTGAAGTAGAATTTTGCACAAAGGACACGGTGGTCTGATCCCGTTTGGAATTTTGGGACAACAGCGACATCAGTCAGGCAAAATCATTGATTGAATATGATGGGGTCTATTTCATTGTGGAATCGTCCACCGGAAGACTCCCATGTCCAACGTTTAGATTCTGCCTTCTGGAACTGTGAGTTACCATGGATGGTCTTGGTCGACATGATGAACTCAGACAGTCTCTCACCCTGTTTGTTCCATTCTAGGCCATGGGTCCCTATGTGAAGTTCTTCGACTGATCTTCTCGGTCCTATCTTGGCATTAAAATCACTCACAATGATCTTGTAGAAGGTATGGTCTTCTTTATAGAACTTCTCCAGCTCCATGTAGAACTTCTCAATTTCATCATAATTAGATGTTAGTGCGTAGACAACTAAGATAGAAACTGCCGGCAGTGAGCCACATCTATTCAAATGTAAACATCCGATTCAGGTTGTTAGGCATTCAAATGAATCAATGCTCATGGCCAAGTTTGTGTTGACAAGGACACTGATGCCTCCAACACCTCTTTTATCGCATGTTCCGAGGAACAATTCTTCTCCAGTGTAGAAAACGAATGAAGGACAA